AAAGTCAAAAACGAGACAAAAATGCCTGCTCTCCTCCCTGCTCTTCAATATATCTGAGGCCCTAACCAGTACAAAGTCAAGAAAGAAGAAAAGGATTACAAAAGGAAGAGTGAAAATTGTCTTTTAAATGGTATAGGAGCTCCGGTCAAGATGGCAGAACAGACAGTTCCCAGCATCACTCTCTCCCACAGATCAACCAATTTACAACTATAAAAATGTAACAACAGCCAAGCTGAGGCCACTGGAGCTCAGGGGAAGAGAAGGAGAGACCTATGGAACTCATGAAGGGGGAGAATCCATGATGAGAGAAAGAAAAAACTGCTCAGAGCATTTTGTGCCGTAGCTGCTTTAAGGCTGGAACTGCTGAGTGCATGGAGCAGGAGCCAGCAAAAGCTACAGCTGTGCCCTGCGGATGGAGTTGTTTGGAGGTGACAGGGGAGAAGAGGGCCTTGGTGGCCTTCAGGACAGCAAGACTCCTAACAGGGTTCCGATGGACCCACGAAGGAGTGAGGACCCAGAACAGCTGAAAAAGGGGAGCCATTCAGAGGCCAGCGAGTCATCACAAGGGACTGGCACAGGGCCCGTCCCATGGGAAGTGTTTGGAGCACAGGCAGTGGTGGAGATGGGCCTACTGGGAGAACACTGGGATACAGCAAAGACAGCCAATCCACCCTCCAATCAGCACAGGACCACTCAGAAGAAACTAGTTGGGAATGCAGAATTTAATGGGATACAGTTTGATGAAAAGATTCAGGCCCAGATCTGAGTTTCTACACAACCCAGCTGCACCAGGTCCCTGCAGAGCTGGTAGTATCTATAAGGTCAACCATTGTAACCTGTGCTGCACAAAAAGTCTTCCTAGTGAAGCAGCAGCAAAGCAACAATTTAGCTCAACCACAGAGCTCAAGTACTACTTCCCACAGGAAGTTCCTCAGTTTTAGAAGTAAGCAAAGGACAAAAAATTAGTTCCAGCGCAGGCACACCACCAGTGCCTCAGAACCCACCAGTGGCCCTGAGGCTTGGAGCCAGGGACCAGACCACCCACCCACAACCACGCACATTGCCAGCACCTCAGGGTCTGCCCAGGAACATGAGGCTTGGAGCCAGGGACTGACCCTCCACCCACATGCACGCACACCACCAGCACCTCGGAGCCCCGTCTGGAGACCCAGGGCATGGAGCTAAGGACCGGACCCCCCACCCACAACCAGGCACACTACCAGAGCCAAGGAGCATGCCAAAAACATCACCTCCATGTGGGTGGCCCACCACAGCCATAACAGTAACCACGGCTGCTACAAAAGTGGCTAGATGTCACAACCACCATGCAGATGGTCCGCCAGCCACTGGAGTGCATTGACATAAGGAGAGTCACCAGCAGAGACCAAAGGAAAGAATAAGATGTCTCTTTCCACAAAGCTCATTCCAGAATGACAGAAGAAGCATCTGCTCTATGATAATATTGGAGGGCCTGAACACATCTTTCGGCATTGGACAGATCACCTAGGCAACAAATCAACAGAATAACCATTACTCTTTCAGAGGGAGAGAAGAACTCTAGGATTATCAGTGGTGGGAGGAGGGAGGGAGAGGGGGATAGGGAGAGATTGGACAAGGGGCATAAAGAATAAGTACAATTTATAACAATATACATACTAGTAATACTGATTTGATCAACATATGTCAACACTGAATTCCAAAAATATGTATAATCAATTATGATTCAATAATAAATAAATAAATAAATAAAATGGTATAGTTACCAACCTAAGCAGAAATCTATAAACTAACCATTAAGGCTAATAAAAGAGTTGAGAAAGCATATTAGATTCAAAATTGACATAATAAAATCAACCCAACACCTGGATGATACAGCCAAGTAATAAGGCTGGGAAAAGGTGTTTTGGCATCTATAGAAGATAATTTTGCTGGAGTTTTGGTGCTGTTGGAAATGATTGAGTGGGGCTTCCACCAGCAGATATCATCACCACTCAAGAAGCCATACTCACCAAACATCTCCAGTTTGTCACAGAGAATAATTTACATGAGGTTCATGTGTTGGAGTGATAACATTCAATAAGCAATCAACCCAATTCTTTAAGAACTACTTCAAATATCTACCCCAGACACTCGCACTCACACACTCATGTTTATTTACTGAACGCACCACAGGGACTTCTTAGTTTCAGGAATTATTGTGTTTATTTATTTGGTTTCCTATTTTGTCTGCTTCCCCCTACTGAAACCGTAAGCCTCAAGAATGAAGTTAGACACAGTGTTTCTTTTTCTCCCCTGCAACGCTAGCACCTAAAATACTGCCTGGAACATTGCTGCTTCTCAATAAATATGCTAAAAGTTGAATGGAAAAGATTACCCCTATGCAAAGTCTTGAAGAGTAGTGTATTAGTCTCTGTTGCTTATAACAAAACACCTGAAATTGGACAATTTATTTATTTATTTATTTATTTTCCCTTTTTGTCTTTTTTCGTGTCCGGCAACGGATCGCAACCCTCAGTGTCGCGCCCGCACCGGACCGACTGTTTTTGTTTTTAATGGAGGGTTAACAGGAGGATTCTGAAAAGAGTGTGGCTTTCATATACTCTGCAATGTAAACAGTAGTAAAATAATAAAAGCTGTCGTATCTCAGCACCATGCCTCTGAGGACCCAGGGCATCCTGCCAAGAAGGAAGAGTTCCTCCACACTGCAGAGCACTCTTCCTAGCAGGGTCTGTCTGGAGTAGACCATGTTCCAACAGATGCTTCTTGGCACTCCAGGGCTGGAGTTGGATTATGCTCCACCTCAGCCCCTTCTACTGTAGCAGTGCACCACCGGGCCGGCCCGACAATTTATAAAGAAAACAAAATTTATTGTTTATAGTTTCAGAGGCCAGGAAGTCCAATGTCCAGGAAACACATTTGGTGAAGGTCTTGATGGTGGCAACAGTGACCCAAGGGTCTCACATAGCAGAAAATGGCAGAGCAGAGAGGTACTAACCTCTAATGTGCTCTTCTTTTAAAACCCTCAGAATCATGCCCCTGACCACTATTATTAGTCTCTTCACTACGGCATGGTCCTACAATCTAATCGAATCTTTAAGGCCCCATCTTTCAATTACCATAATAGGATTCTCCCCCCCTCTTTACACTGTCACAGTGGGAGCTAAGTTTTGGGGGCAGATTCAACCCAAGGCAGGTAGGTAGGAACAGTTTGTCAGATAGTGGAGGCAACAGCATTAGCAAAGGCACAAAGATATAAAACATGATCTATCTGCAAAAAAGCAAATTCAGTATTGTTGGGAAATGACACACAAGGTATGTGATGGAAATTGGGAACTTGTGAATTGAATAAAAAAAGAGGCCAGAAGGGCCTTGTCCGGCATGCCTTGGAGTTGGGGCTTTCTCATGAAAGTGACAAGAAGTAACTAAAGAGATTTAAGCTAAGAAGTAACAGATCTATACCATTCGATTTGGCAGCTGATCATAGATAGCAGATTTTAAAGGGTCAAGACTGAAAGAAGAGATCAGAAACTTATAGTTCAGAAAAGTAACAATGTTAAAAATATTAATGATAAACATAGTTAACCATGTTAAGTATTTACTATTCTGTGCCAAGCACTATGCTAAGTGCTTTCCTCACATTATCTCATTCAATCTTCACAATAATTCTATGAAGTTGGTACTATTCCCATTTTATGAATGAGGAAACTGAAGCACAGAGTGATTAAGCAACTTACCTAAAATTACACAGCCAGTAAGTGAGGGAGCCAAGATCCGAGCTAGGCAGTCTAGGTGGAACAGATGGGACCCAAGACTCATTTATGAAGTAAAACTCAGCTGCACTTGGTGACTTCTTTGGAGGTAGATGGTGAGGTGGGAGGGAAGTGACTCCAAGGTGCCTGGCTTGAATGACTAGCAATTAGAGACTCAGAACTACAGAAGTCCTTAAAGATCACCCAGTCTGGCTGCCTACCCAATGCCAAAATTTCTTCTCTACCATCTCTAACAAATAATTACCCAGCCTATGCTTGATAGAACAACATAGATCTGAGCTGAGTCACACTGTCTCCCATTACTAAGACTCTAAAGATCTAAAATATGTTAAGAGTTGGAAGGGCCTTCTGAGATGTCATCCACTGATTTTCATACTGTCATATGCAGAATTATAGAATTCTGTAAGTACCTCAGGGGTCATCTCAAGCTGGCCTCTGCCTCCCCTCTCCTGCTTCAAATAAGCAGTACCCAATTTTATAACACTCGTGTTGAGGATCTTTGTACAATTTCGTTTAGAAAAAAAGAGTACAATGCTTTTAAAAGATTTCATAATCACTGGTCCAGACCAATACTCCATTTCATGGCAAAGGAATTTGAGGTCCAGCAAGATTGAGTTGGTCAAGGTCATACAGTCAAGGTCACATAGACAAGTAATTGCAGAGCAAAACAATCTCTTAAATACTGGAAACCACCCCACTCCTCCTAGCCATTTTTTCTCTTTGTTCAAGTTTTATATAAGAATATAATTTTTAACAGAAGCTTTAAAATTGTATAGTAAAGTAACATACCAAAGTATACTTCATTCTTTTTAGTTTTTCTGATATCTCTAGGTGTGGTCCTAACACTTAGTCCTCTCTACCTTAGAATCAGTATCTACTGGAAGGTAATTTATATAAGTATTAACAGTAATTATTTATCATGATCTGCAAACTCATGGCAACAATAGATTCACAGAAAGAGGTCTAAATTAACTGGCATGACTGAAAATCACAGATATTCTAGGTAACATTCTGCCTTATTACTTATGACCTTGCTTAAGAAAACAATCCAAGTCAATTCAACCAAAATATATGCTCTGGATTGGAGTTCTCCAACTTTAAGATTCTTTAATTCCCATTCTCCCCTCTCTAAAGCTTATAACTTGTAACTGATTAACACTATGATTTGATCAGAAAAAAGAAGCATTCCTGCATATACAGACAAGGATTACAGAAGCACGCAAGACTCACGCATTTCTATGAACAGCTGCCTCTTCTCTGCCATGGTCTTCCGCTTGTTCCCACTTTCCTCGATCATCCTAGAGACAAAGAAAGATACAATAAACCATGGTGTAATTTGACAATTCAACCAAGTGCTAATCATTCTACTGTGAAGTGGTGCAAGAAACCAAGTTGTATATACACGTTTTCAGACAGTATCAGTAAAATTGAAGTGGAAACCTGATACCAAAAAATAAAAAAGATAAACCATTATCCCTTTATTTGAGAGCTACTAAAATATAAAAATCAGTACTTAAATGAGCTCGTATATATACTTGCTTCCTGTGCTGAAAATATCAGGCTGTCTTATTTCCAATTTTAATTATTTTCTCTGCAGAGTCCTGGATTAGTTGATACAGTTTTATACATATAAACATGTCACTAAATATAATTTAGAAATAAATATAATGAAAGGCTGCAATAAAGAACATAAGAATAGGGCTGGCTGGTTAGCTCAGTTGGTTAGAGTGTGATGTTATAACACAAAGGTCAAAGGTTTGGGTCCCTGTACCAGCCAGCTGGGGAAAAAAAAAATAAGAATAGTTATACATAAAAATATAAGTTAAATCTTCTATTATTTTATTAAACAATATTAAACAAAAAGGTATTCATCCTCAAACTCAAAGAGCTCCGAAATGTAACTTTTCTATCACAAGGTAATAGCAGTTTACATTGACAGACTTAGGCTACACCTGTCACTTTGTTAAAACTTTTTATATGCATTATCTCATTTAATCATCACAAAAACTGTGCTGTTATTATTATTATCCCCATTTTATAGACTAGGAAACAGATGTCTAGAAAAGAACACTAACTTGCTCAAAGGCATACAACTCAGAAGTGGTAAAGTGGAACCCCAATCCTTTTGTTAAACTTCTTTTTTTTTTTTTTTTTTCCTTTTTGTCTTTTTTCTTTTTCTTTTTTTTTTTTTTTTTTTTTCCTTTTTTTTTTTTTTTTTTTTTCCTTTTTTTTTTTTTTTTTTTTTCCTTTTTTTTTTTTTTTTTTTTTCCTTTTTTTTTTTTTTTTTTTTTCCTTTTTTTTTTTTTTTTTTTTTCCTTTTTTTTTTTTTTTTTTTTTCCTTTTTTTTTTTTTTTTTTTTTCCTTTTTTTTTTTTTTTTTTTTTCCTTTTTTTTTTTTTTTTTTTTTCCTTTTTTTTTTTTTTTTTTTTTCCTTTTTTTTTTTTTTTTTTTTTCCTTTTTTTTTTTTTTTTTTTTTCCTTTTTTTTTTTTTTTTTTTTTCCTTTTTTTTTTTTTTTTTTTTTCCTTTTTTTTTTTTTTTTTTTTTCCTTTTTTTTTTTTTTTTTTTTTCCTTTTTGTCTTTTTTCTTTTTCTTTTTTTTTTTTTTTTGTCTTATGTCTTTTTCCGTGTCCGGCAACGGATCGCAACCCTCAGTGTCGCCCCCGCCCCGGACCGGGGACTGGCTACGGGATCGCAACCCTCGGTGTTGCGCCCGCACCTCACTCAGCCAGTGAGCGGCCCGTCTGTATGTGGGATCTGAACCCTCAGCGGGAGTGCTGCCGCGCTCCCAAGCGGCGCACTGTAGCAGTGCGCCACCGGGCCGGCCCCTTTTGTTAAACTTCTTACGTAATTATTGCTTGTAGATTTATATTTTCAGATCTCTATGCCTAAAAAGCTAGAACACAAATAGTCCATTACATGGACTCTACTGATGCAAAATTTGTAACAATTTCAGCTGAAGTTTGCCTTACTCCATAAAGAAAAAATATCTAGACAAACAGCATAAGCTAAATAATTTCCCCACGTAGACTAAACTGCTGTAAGTCATTCTCAGATATGTAGAATCGCAAACTAAATGATGACTACAAGAATTACAGATCCATTAAAGCAAGTTGCCTGGTTATAAAAAGTTTAGTTATAACATATCCTAAAGAAAACAGAAAGTGTAAATATATTCCTTAACATTCCACAACTATTATTTTGATCATTAAGACTCTCTCCTAGATCACTGAAATGTTATGAAGTAGGCGTCAACAAAAATGTTGCTTACTTAATTTGCCCTCAAGACAAAAGAATTTTAAATACAAAGGAAGCCAAAGAAAATGCAACCAGAAGCAGCAAAAATCTAATAAAATCTAAGTCCTAGAGAAAAAACAGGAATTGGTACCAGTAGTCTATAATTAGAAAGAAAAAAATACACTGTATTCAAACGTTTGCTCCATCCTCTCCAATCTTGGTCTCTCACTAGGTAATTCAAATTTAAATGCTAAACACAGATTAAAATAGGGAATATTATAATGTCCTTTATAATATAACTCATTTATTATATCCTTTCTCTACTTTTACTATTCTTTTATATCACTTTTTTTAAAAGTAGTGATAAGAATTCCTGAAGATCCCTAGGTTCTTCATGACAATTTTCTAAATTTTGTTTTCATTTCCAGATTAATATCGGAAAAAATTAATATAAATATATTTCAGATCATCTGGATGACCACTATACTACAAGTACTGCCATGCAAGTTCAGGTTCCACATGTGCTTGTGTAATTATTTGTGGCACCGGTGTCAGGAGATCACCTAAAGCAGGGGTTGGCGAACTATAGAAACTATACTACCTCGGGCCAGATCTGATCTGCTACCTGTTTCTGCAAATAAGGGTTTACTGGAACATAGTCACACCCATTCATTTATGTATTGTCTATGGCTGCTTTCGTGTTACGACGGCAGATGTGAGTAGCTGCAACAGAAAGCATTTGGCCTGCAAAGTCTAAAGTACTTCCTATTTCACCCTTTAAGAAAAGCTTGCCAACCCCACTTAAGCAATAGTGATTAATATTGCATTACTATACCTGTTTGGCTGCAATTAAATGAACATGTCCCCACTGTCAAAATGACAGCAATCATCCCACATGGGTTTGAGTGCCAGCTCCATTACTGGAAATCTATCCTTGGGGAAGTGCATTAATCACTCTAAGATTCATTTCTCATTGGTAAAATGGCATAAAGATTATACATACTTCATTAATCACTCATTTGACAAGTATTTATTGAGTAACTCTTATGTGGCAGACTTAGCTAGAGGTACTAGGAATACTGCAGTGAATAAAACACAAAGTCCTCAACTTCATGTAGCTTACATTCTTGTGGGAAGATTAAACGTAGCAGTTCGTTTTGACAGTGCCTGGCTTAAGGTAAGCACAGGTCAAATGGGAGCTTCTATTCTTACTCTTATTACAATTTTTACTATTACTATTACTACTACTACTACTACACAAGTAGTTTATAAATCTAGTGGGGAGAATCTCATTAATAATTAATGATAGGTGTAAAAAAATAAAAAATAATTAATGATAGGTGTTATTTGATTTGATGCATTTTCTTTTTAAGAAGGTCTTATAGACTTTCTGAAATTAATAAAGCACAAAGCAGAGACTTTAGAAATTTAATTATCTAAACTGACACATTAATAATGGTATCTTGAATTCATGCAGACAATTATTACAAACCTGAATCAAACAACACATAAAATTTGAGCAGATATCTCACCAAAGGAGGTGAATAAGCATTTAAAAAGATACTCAACATCATATGTCATTAGGGAATTGAAAACTAAAACAAGGAGAACACCACTACACACCTACTAGAATGACCAAAACCCAGAACATTAACACCAAATGCTGGGGAGTATGTAGAGCAACAGAACTCTCATTCATTGCTGGTGGGAATGCAAAATGGTATAATCACTTTGGAAGACTGGTGGTTTCTTACATAACTAAACATTCGCTTGCAATATGATCCTGCAATCATACTCCTTGGTATTTACCCAAAGGAACTGAAAACGTACGTCCACACAAAAACCTGCACACAGATGTTTACAGCTGCTGTACTCATAATTGCCAAAACTTGGATGCAACAAAGGTGTCCTTCAGCAGGCAAATGGATCAACTGGGGTATACCCAAACAATGGAATATTATTCAGCACTAAAAAGAAACGAGCTATCAAGCCATGAAAAGACTAGATGAACCTTAAATGGATGCTACTAAGTGGAAGAAGCCAATATGAAAAGGCTACACACCATATAGTTCCAACTACGTGACATTCTGAAAAAGGCAAAACTATGGAGACACTGAAAAGATCAGTGGTTGCTTAGGGGGAGAGGATGGTTTATAGGTGAAGCACAGAGGACTTTTAGGGCAGTGAAATCACTCTGTATGATACTATAATGGGGGATGCATGTCATTATATGTTTGTCCAAACCCACAGAATGTACAACTCCAAGGGTGAACTCTAATATAAACTATGGACTTCTGGTGATAATGATGTGTCAGTGTAGGTTCATAGGTTGTAACAAACATACCCACACAGGTGGAGAATACTGGTAATGGGAAGACTGTGCATGTGTGGGGGTAGGGGACCTATGGGAAATCTCTGTACCTTCCACTTAATTTTGCTGTGAACCTAAAACTGCTCTAAAAAATAAAGCCTATTTAAAGAAAAAAATCACCTACAAGGCTTATTAAAACACATATTAAGGGGACCCATTCCAGAATTTCTGTTCAGTATGTCTGGAGTGGACCTGAGAATCTGCATTTGTAATAAGTTTCAATTGGTGCTGATGCTGCTGGTCTGGGAACCATGCTTTGAGAACCAATGGTCTAGACCTGTTCCTACGCCGTCCTGCCTCCCTCATTCCCTTACAGATTTCACCTGAGAGCACAACCTCAATAAATTACTTACACAAGAATCCCCATCAGGCTCCACTTCTAAGGAATCAAACCTAAAACACAGTATGATCAAAACTTTAAAAGACAGACATAACACATGCGTGTTTTCATATGCTTGGACATACAGAGAGGAAACTCTGAAAGAATACACAAGAAATTGTTCACAGGGTTCTCTTTCAGGCTCAGTAAACTAGGATTGGGGTACGGGAAGAGGGCAGACATGGAAATACTCATTTGCCACTTCAGACCTTCCTAACAAACCTCTCATTTTTTCTCTTAACTCCCTTCAGTATCTTCCCTTCAATTCCTTCTACTAGATTTCTTTTCTTTTTTTTTTTTTAATTCTTCTTCCA